GTAAGCTAAATTTATTTAACATGGTTCTACTCATTTCAATAATTGTTCGATTCTTCCTTTCAACTACACCATTTTNAAGTACTTTGGTAAGCTAAATTTATTTAACATGGTTCTACTCATTTCAATAATTGTTCGATTCTTCCTTTCAACTACACCATTTTGAGGAGGTGTTCTAGGAGCCAAAAATTCATGTTCGTACTCTTTATGTAGACAAAAATTCTCAAACTTGAATTGATCAAATTCTCCCCCATGATCACTCCTAACATACGTAATCAAGTATCCTTTTTCATTTTCAACTCTCTTACAATAACTTTTAAAGATATCTAAGGCATCATCTTTGTGTCGAAGGTAATAGACCCATTTATATCTAAGAGTAATTTTCAACAATGACAAATGCATAACCTTTGCTGCCAAGACTAATTATATTTGAGAGTCCAAATAAATCTATATAAATGAGTTCTAAGGGTCTAGATGTAGATATGACATTCTTACACTTAAATGTGCTCTTGCATTGTTTTCCTATTTGACATGGGAGACAAACTTTATCTTTTTCAAATCTAATTTTGGGTAGGTCAACTATTAAGTCTTTTCCTAACAAGTTTGGAAAAAGTGTCTATGCTACAATGCAGTGTTTTGAAAAGCACGCCTAGGCGAGAAGGGAGGCGAGGCGAAGGTATCTCGCCGAGAGGACCCCAGGTGAAGCGAATGTGGCCGAAGCCAAAAAAAAGCGAGAAAAGCGAGCGCCTGTCGCTTAAGCGACTGGTGAAAAAGCGAGCGCCTTAATGGTTCTAGGCGATTTTTTTTTTTTTTTTATTATGGGTCGTTGATTAGACAATTGAAAAAAAAAATTTAAGACGTTGATACACCGAATTATTCTCTTACCCCATAAATACAACCCCAAACCTAATTTTTTTTTCAAATTGCCTTCACTGGAGCTCTGAGGCTTCGCTGCTACACGATAATCGTTGGACTATCGCTGGAGTAGGACCATCGTTGGACACGGGGAATCGGGCTTCGCTACTCATTGCTACACGACCACTGCTGCACCATCGCTACACGATCGCTGGTCTAGAGGTGGACAGAGACGTTCACAAGTTAGTCTCTTCTTCTTTTTCTCTCTTCTATTTCTCTTTTTTTTTCTCTTCTTCTCTCTTCTGCTCCTTCCTCACCGATTCTGTTCTTTTTTTTTTTTTTTCTAATCACAGGTTAGTAGTCTCTTTTATCTTTTAAGCACTGATGACCCTTTTTTTTTACGATAGCTGGTCTCTATTTTTTTTTTTTTCTGACAATGGCTGGTCTAGTTTTTTTTTTTTTTTAAGTGATGTGGATTGATTTCTAAGTCCTTGAGATAGTTTCTTTAATTGCTTGAATTGTGTATCTTATATTTTTAAATATTAGGATTTCGAATATTATTAGTATTTGTTTGAATTTAAATGTTTAAGTTATGACTGTTATTAAGATTTGAGATATTATTAGTGTATATTTTAATTTAAATGTTTATGGTTTTACTTGCATTTAAATATTTAGTATATATAAAATTAGAACTTAGATTGTTTAGAAGTAATTAAACTAAAATATTTTTTTTTTAACTATTCGCTTCGCTTCGCTTCGGTAAAGCGTGTCGCTTCGCTTCTCCCTTCTCGCCTAGGCGTTAGGAGCCTTAGTCGTTTCGGTTCGCTTTAAATAACACTGCTACAATATCCTAATCTTCTATGCCAAAGTCATGACTCATTTTTTACTACGGCCAAACATTTGATATTTTGATCATATAAGTCGTTAAGATCCACAACATACACATTTTCAATTCTTTTAGCAACAAAAAGGATGCAATTGTCTATTATGTTTTCTACTTTGCAAGTGTTTGCTTCAAAAATGATTTGATAACCCTTATCACATAATTGACTAAGACTAAGTAGGTTATCCTTCAAGTCATTAACCAACAACACACTTTCAATTTAGAGGGAAGATTTCTTACCAACATTACCAATTCTAATGGTTTTACCTTTGGCACTGTCTCCAAAGGTAACATATATACCCTCCTCATTTGATAGTTAAGCAAATTTTGTTATATCAATCGTCATGTGTCTTGAGCATTCACTATCAATAAACCACATGTAGGTATTGTGAGTGGACTTGAAACACACTTATACAATTGAGTTAAACATTGATCTTTGGTACCCATTTGGTTTTGGGTCCTTCAAAGTTAGAGAATATTTTATGCATGTTTCTATTTTCATGTGATCTCCTAGCATAGTAATTGTATGCAAGATATCCTACTTTATGGCAATAACTAAGGGTAACCCATACTTAAAGGCACAGAGAAGTAATGGATTTTTTTTTGGGGGGGAGGAGAATTCAATGTGAATGGTTTTGAAAGGTATCTTAGTGGTCGTTGAATGAGTCTATTTGAAATCGGCGGATAGACTTACTGAAGTTTGTCATATTTTATATTATAGATTGCATGTTTTAGTATTCCTTTTGACTTTGATAATTTAATAAAGAAATTCTTATAAGCATTTTGGCTAGAGTGATTGTTAAGACCCAATCCGGCTTTATCAAACACACACCTTTGGCTTGATAAAAAATTTTCCAATTTTTCACTTCCTTTAGTGAAATTAGAAACAATCTTGTTTAAATCACAATTTTTCCTTTTAAAACATTGCTTTCCTCTTTGAGCTTATCAACTAAGGAAGAGTCTGGTGATTCTTTTTTCAAATTAACTTTTTGAACTTTAAATTTTTCATTCTCAATTTTTAAAATTTTATTTTCTTTTGAAAGAGTGACAAGTTTTTTTTTTTTTAGCTCCTTATACCTTTTGGTGATGTCAAGTAACTTAGTAAGTCATTATGCAACTCAAGCATGGCATCATACATTTCATTCATATAAAGCTCATTTTCTTCTTGTGATTTAGAGTTTACCTCATCACTTTCTACCATAGCCATGATGCAAAGATTTGACGTTTCTTTGATCTCTTCGTGATCCGAATCGCTATCACTAACTATCACTCCAAGTTGCCTTTATAGCAACCTTCTTGTCCTTCTTGTAGGATTTCTTCAATGTGGGATAATCTTGCTTGATGTGCCCCGGCTTGTTGCATTCATAGCAAATCACCCCACTTTTTCTTGAATATTCTCTTTTCTTGTAGAGGCCTTGATTCTTGAGAAATCTATTGAACTTTCTTGTGATGAAGGCAAGTTCTTCATCACTTTCTTCCCTCTCTTTATTTTTTTTTTCATTTGAAGCATTGGTAGATTTGAAGGCAATGTTTTTTTTTTCGTTCTTCTCTGGCTCCTCATCTCTTTTAATACTCCATGAGAGAGCCAAGAAGCTCTCCCAAAGGAAGAGCCTTGAGATCATTTGCTTCAATGATAGCGATCACTTTGGCATCTTAAGATCTTGGAAGACACCTAAATATTTTTTTTACTAAGATTTACTAAGAGATTTAAGTGCATTGATAATGTTAGTAAAACGTGTAAATATTTAAGATATGCTTTCATGAGGATCCATTTTAAAAAGCTCATAATTATACACAAGCATATTTATCGTAGATCCTTTCACTCTACTAGTTCCTTTGTGTTACTTCTAGCATGTGTCATATTTGATTAGTTGTTTCACAAGTAGAAACACGATTAAATTCACTTCTATCTAGTGCACAATAGAGTGTATTCATTGTCATGACATTATTAGTGTGTCTTATTCTCATCACTAGCCCATATTTTCTTATCACTAATGGGCTTAGTGTATCCTTCTTCAATAGTATCCCATAGTGCATCATCTTAAGACATGATGTATATTTTCATTCTACCTTTCCAATATGCATAGTCATTGCCATTGAAAAATGTTGGTCTAGAAATAGATTGTCCTTCAACAATGTTTTCTCCTAGAGTTGCATGATCTTTTTACTCTAAATGTTGTTACACACTTTGCTTAGAGTCCTCACTCTGATACCAATTGTTCGCTCAAAGTACAACATAAGAGCGGGTGAATTAGGTTTAAAAGGCAAAGTCTCAATTAAAAGTTCAATTTCACTAATTGTGAAATTAATTAACCTATATGATAGTTGTCAATGGGATGAGAATGATATTATGTGTGATAATTGTCAATGGAATGAGAATGATATTACGTGTGTGAGTTAACAAAGATGATACAAAGTAAAAAGAGTAAGTGAGAAAGAGCAAACACACGTAATTTTTACTTTTCATTTAGTAATTTTTAGGAAAGGATTATTTGGATTAAAAATAGGAATTTATTTGGGTGGAATAGGTTTAAGTCAGATAAACATGTTAAATAAGTTGTGTTAGTAGTGTTGATCATGTTATGTTAGTCGTGTTATATCCCAAATGGGACTCATGTACTATTGCGGGTCATGTCAAACCGGACACAACCTTTTCATTAAACATGTCACACAGGTCATATTTGGGTTAATCATGGCACAAGTGAGTCGTGTTCGTCTCTGGCTGTTTGACATGATTAACCAAGTAATCATGTCGGTCGTATTAGGGTTGAGTGGTTTTTGACACGAACATGAAATGACATTATATCTCCTTATTACTAACCGTACCTCAGGCACCGAAAGTTTTTCTGATGAACTCTCACTTTTCGAATTGGCATGTTTTTTGTGCTACGGCATGAGTATATACATTATGTTACGGCATGAGTATATATATTATATCTCTCTCTCTCTCTCTCTCTCTCTCTCTCTCTCTCTCTCTCTCTCTCTCTCAGCATAAACAAACAGTGTTCAACACTTTCGCTTTTCTTTTTTGGGCTAGACAAAAATGGTATGTCTAGTACGCACTTCCCTTTCCATTTCCCTCGGCCAATTACCAACATTGTCACATTGAGGAGTCATTGACCGCATGTTCTGGGTTCTCCATGTATCAAATTTTAAAGTCATAGTATGTTAGTAACCCTTTAACTCGAAATGTAATCACCTCGAATTGCCTACATTTGTTAAAACGTGAAGCTTCCGTCTTTCTTATCAGGACAAAGAAAATCAACTATACAAAATTAAGTTCACTGCATCAATTCAGACAAAACCCAGTTCAAATTACCATCCAAGATCTACAAATTCGACTCTTTAATCACATACGGACACGCGATTATATAAGGCATAAATGAAGAAACTCACCGAGGATCAGTTTCTAAGGCGATGTGAAGGGCTTGATTAATTGCAGAAAAGAGGTTTATAGACTTAGTCCCACTCTGTTGGAGACTGTTTTCATCGGTGGTCGACGTCGTCGCTGAGAATCCCCTCTGATTGCTCCTCCTCTGACCCTTCTTACATGACATTAAAACCAATCTTCCAAATCTCCTCGGACTGGTCGCCATTGATATCTATGTACCTACAACAAGGAACTGAATACTAGTGTGACAAATGGATTGGTTAATAGATACGATTCACTCCTATAAACCATTGATGCAATCAACGACGGCTAACTATGGAGTAATAGTGGGCGTGTTTGACTGAAGGATTGGAGCGATTTGGATTAAACAGCCCAACCCTATCCAAAAGTAATCCCTTTAACAGTGAAAATTGAGGCCAAGTTTCCGTTAAGGAATTAATAAGTTGTTATATCTATTATTTTTTTAAAACTCTAATTTGAAAATTGTTATTCCTTAATTCACTGTCAATGAATATATGCCACTAAAATTTTTTACATAAATTTGAAATTCAAATTCAAATAACAACTAATACGCTCTCTCTATATATATTATTTATTTTCGATTTAAATATTATTATTTTTATTTTTAAATGCTATTATTTTTTGTGTTTAAATATTCTATGTTACTAGTTTTTATTTTTTACCATTTTATTATTTATGTTACTGTTGTTAAGATTAATCAAACGTAAAAAAAAGAAAGAGAGAAGTCGAGAATATTATTCATAAAAGAAGTCTGTAATTTACAGCTTAACCTAGAATACACAAAGTATGTCTTATATAGTAGGACAACACAACATAAAGAAAATACCTAAACTACCCTTAATATTAATAGTCTAACACCCCCTCTCAAACTCATGATGTGGTAGAGAACATCAAGAGTTTGTTAAGAAGAAATCTAAAACGTGCTATAGTGTGAGACTTCGTAAAAAAATTCGCTATCTACATTGTGGAAAGAAGAAAGGGGAGAATGATGGTACCTTGCTGCAGATGATGGCGCACAAAGTGACAATCAATTTCAATGTGTTTTGTGTACTCATAGAAGATCGAGTTATAAGCAATCTGAATAGTACTGGTGTTGTTGTAGAACATAGAAGTAGGAGAAGATACTAAAATGCCAAAATCAGCAAGAAGCCTTCGTAACCAAACTATCTCACCTATAGTAGATGTCATAACACGATATACAGCTTCAGCAGAGGAACGAGAAACAATAGTTTGTTTCTTGTTTTTCCAAGAAATAAGAGAATTTTCAAAAAACAGGCAGAAATTAGTGGTGGACTTGCGATCCATGAGTCAACAGCCCAGTCAGCATCAGAGTAAGTCCTGAGTTCCATAGAAAAAAAGCGAGGGAATAATAAACTCTGATGTAGAGTATCACGGAGATGCTGAAGAATGTGAAGAACATCAGCCCAATGAACAGGGGTGGGTGAGGCAATAAATTGACTCACAATGTAAACAACATAAAAGATATCGGGACGAGTGACTGTAAGATATACTAAACTCCCAACAATAGTCGGATAGAGGGATCGGGTCAGACAAGGGAGTACCATAAGACGAAGAATGACAAACATTGAGCTCTAAAGGTGTTTCAACTGTCCAATTATCTGATAAACGTGCTTGTTCAATAACATCTAAAGTATACTTGGACTGAGAAAGAAGATATCCTTTAGGAGAGGAAGCAATCTCAATGCCCAAAAAATATCTAAGTTGTCCCAAATCTTCCATCTCAAAATGGTCCTACAACTAGGTTTTCAATAAGCATATGTCAATAGTATCATCACCGGTAATAATTATATCATCAACATATAATAAGAGAACAATAGAACTTGAGGAAGTAAACCGTAAAAAGATAGCAAAATCATGGTTATTGGCGCGAAAATTCCGCACTTTTTAGGGTTAATTAGTATCCCCTAGCTGTCCTTGGGAATCATATCATAAAGTCCATGGTAACGTGTTCCCCACTTTCATTCAGGAATGGGTTGAGGTTGTAGCATTCCCCTTGGCCTTTGATGTTCCACTCTCACTTGCTAACATGTTGAGCTTCGAGCAATAAACTTGGCGATGCCCCTCTTTATGCCCTTCCACCGACATTGTCGTTCCGTGTCCTTGTACAATGACACAAGATGTACAGTGAACTTTGATCAATGACATTCTTCGAGAATTTCCTGTTTAAGTTGCTCATGGTTAGGTACAAATAATCTTCTGTTATATTTCACCCTTTATCATGTAACCCCATCCTCCCTTTTGTTTGTTAGTGATTGACATACTTGTTGCAAACTCGGGTCCTCATTTTCTGCTACAATAATCTTCTAGTGTAGACTTGATTGAATAGCTAAGTTAAACAATCGAGGTACCATCTCTTCCTTTCCAACCCAAAGATCACATTCTCCCAAGGTTTCCATCATTTTCGAATTCTCCAAATTTAGATTATTTAGTGCTCCCTCCATCTTCCTCTTAAAGCATCAGCTATAACATTGGGCGTCCAAGGATGATAGTGTAATAAAAAACATAGGTCATGTTTGATTATCATCTCAGAAACAGTTTTTTGTTCTCGAAATTTCAAAAATATCTAAAACCTGTTTGTTTAGCATTTTGTTCTCTAAATTTTGAAAAAAAAAATGAAATTTGAGTCAAAAAAATAGAAAACAAGTGTAGCTTGTTTTCAGAGTTTTCTTTGAAAACAAGTATATTAAAGTTTGGTTTATTGAATTTTTTTTTTATGAATTTGTCAATCTAAAAATAATTTTTTTTTATATTTTTTTATTAACGTTTGAATTACTGTTTAAATATATATTTAGTCTGTTCAAACAAGTTTTACTATTTTCTGTATTGTAAAATTGTTTTTAAAATCATCTAACCAAACAAAATTTTTATTTCAAAAAATATCAAAACCACTTTCTTAAATCTCTTCTCAAAAACTGTTTTCAGATACTATTTTTTGAAACGCAAACCAAACAGACCCGTAATCTTCCAAGTACTCAATCCATTGTCGCTGTTGAAAATTTAGATCTTTTTGAGTGAAAATATATTTCAAACTCTTATGGTTAGTGTACATTTAGAACCTCTCACCTTATAAATAACAACACACTTAAGTTGATGTTGTAAATTTGTTCGCTGCTGTTATAAATTTTTCTACTTATGTCATAATTTTTCCACTAATCGATCAATCAATATTAGTGATGGATCACAAACCTACTAAATATACTTATGGTATTCAAATGGTGGTTAAAAATTGCCCACTATTATAGTAATTTTGCTCATTATTGTAGTAAAGTTTTTATTGATGTTATAATTTTGTCCACTATTGTTGTAAATTTTTTATTAATATTATAAAATTTTCACTAATGTTGTAATTTTTTCCATTATTATGGTAATTTTGTCTATTATTATTATAAAATTTTCATTAATATTATAATTTTGTCTATTATAATCATAAATTTTTCACTAATATTATAATTTTACCCTTAATTGACAGAATGTCAACTCTTCAATATGGTATCGAAATATTCTTTGTCGGTACCGTAGTCTGCTCCGCCATTTTGCGCAACTAACAAAGACTACTACTCCGGGATGCCCAATTAAAAGATGGGCTTCAACTAACTCTAAGTTAGCTCAAGTGCAAGGCGGCTCAATCGTATTAAAAAATGAGTTTGGGCTTTAGATCCCAAATTTTTAAATGATTTCATAATTTTAGATGCACTACTAATTCAGAAAAAAATTAAATTTATTAAATTTTAAACCCTAAAAAAAAAGTCCTCAAAAAATTAAATACAATCAAAATTTTTATTATAATAATTTAGATCCATGATCCAATCCATAACATTAGAAACCTAAAAATTATAAGTTGAAAAAATAAAAAAATACTCAAAAGTTAACTCAGATTTATCTCTATCCACTCTCTTTGTGTATAAAAATAAGTAAAAATATATATAAAAAAAAGTTGAAATTAAAATATCTTTCTCCGATAAAAAACAAAAACAAAAGTTAAAATATTTTTCTCGATAACACTAGCACGTCTTTCTACTGTCTCTCTCTTTCACATAATAAATTAAAAAAAATTATTTTTTTTAAAAAATTAATATTAAAAATAAAAAAGACCTTTTTTAGTATTGTCATTTTATACCTCAAATTGCCTTGAACCGCCTCTGCTTGAGTGACGATATGATAAGTTTGAATCTTAATAATCTCTTGGGGTTAAATTATGAGAGATTCTCTTAGTCCTGACATGAATAACTTGCATTTGATCAACTTAAAGAGAAAACTAGTTAAAGTGCATATAAATTAATTTGAATATTCTTGGCCATCAAACTGAAAAAAAAGATGGGCTTCCACTGGACGGGGGTTTCCAATACGTCACCAAACAAACCAAACTTCCTTAAATAGACTTGCAGGGCTCACAAGCCCGTTTGGAAGTGTAGCCAAACACACCCTATATTACATACAAGCAAAATATTTTAAAAAATTAATTATAAAATAATCTCAATATATTTAAAAATTTATCCGATTGTGTTGAAAATATGTTTAAAAAATTGATAATCATTGGTATAGGTTCTAATAATTGATACCGACATGATCTGCATAATAAAAACAATCCTTAAAAAAATTTGAGTGTGGGCATGTAGCAGCCTGTTGATTATTATATATAATACCACCCTTTGTCACATTATTGTTGATTTTATAATCCAGTACATTTGAGCAGCCATGTAATGGCCCTTGATTATCTCTGGTGTGAAACCATGACACATTATCATTGGCAGAGTCAAAGAATTTAGTTTAGAATGAACTTCAATTTTAAAATTTAATTAATATTTAATATTTTTTAATCATTAAAAATATTTAATATTTGTGGACTTAATCTATGCACCTAATTAATTATAATTGTTGAATTGAAAGTATGTTCATTCTAATCTTAAAACTAATGATTAATTTAACATTAACGATGAATTAGATCTCTAAATTAAATCTTTATAGCATTACTCATTGATTAAATCTATCTGTCACGAACCAGAGTTAAACCTGTAATATGTTATTCGTCACATACTCCACTCGATTGAGCTTTCTTTTGAAAAGAGTAACCTATAATTGAGTAGAAAAACCTGCTTTTTCATCTTCTCTTTCATCTTTGTTCCCTTCCTCCCCGTCGTTTTACGACTTTAGTAGGTCTACAAC